GGGGAAGGTGGAGGCGGAGGAGGAGGAGGAGGAGGCAGACGAGGAGGAAAAGGAAGAGGAGGTGGGTGATGACGATGAGGAAGATGAGGAGGAGGAGGAGGAGGAGGAGGAGGAGGAGGAAGAGGAGGAGGAGGAGGAGGAGGAGGAGGAGGAGGAGGAGGAGCAGGGGGAGGAGGAAGAGGACGCATCATACTAATACGAATAATCAGTCCAAGGCGAATCACACGAGTTCTCAGAATAGTGCGAAGGAACTGGCGGACAACAAGTCGAATGACGACATTTACACGATGAGTAGTATCAACAACGAACATTCATATGAATAATTCTTGCATGTGTAATACGGCCAATCAGGGGAACACTAATACGAACAAGCGAAGCATAATCATAGTACACTCCTAATACTAAAATGAAGCACACGCAGACGAACATGAATACGACGAGTACCAATACCATTGTGATTACTATGAGTAGTACTATTCATACTTATGAAAAGACTAAGACTAACACGACACATAGTCACACTCATACTTGTAACATTCATACGGCGATTACATTAAGTAAACGTACGAGACAGGCTACGAATGTTATGACTTCTAAATGTATCGGTGCTGGGACTCCTACCAACAACGCTAATACGACCAATACCACATAATAGTACGATTGGTAACGCTATCAATAGCAATCCATGTTAATACGGACTACAATCCTATAATAAAGCTGCTACTAACACACACACACCGTAAAGGTGCTCATCGTACTAGTGAGATAAGAATATCCATAATACGAAGAAGACGAAGAAGACGAAGAAGAGGAGGAGGAGGAGGAGGAGGAGCAGGCGGCATTGACAGCATCGCCGCAGCAGGCGCGATGGCAGTTTCCGGTGGGCCGAGCGGCCCAGGCGCGCCTCCGACCGGCGCGAACGTGGGCGCGTTGGCCGCGGCCACCAATCGGGGCGCTGGCGGGCGAGGGCCTGCCTGGGGCCCGGGCGAGCCAGGCGCAGCCGCAGGCGAGGGGCCCTTGCGGGCCCAGAAGGCGGCCTCTGGTGCCCGAGACGTGCACCTTTCTTCAAGAGCGCCCTCGAGGGCGCGTCGCGCTTCGCGCTGCGCGCTTCGCGGTTCGGCTCCTATTCCTCCGCATCTTCCTCTTCTCCCCTGGGAGGCGCTTCGCGCACTGCAAAGCGCGAAGTTGGGAGCCCTTGCCTCTGGTGCCTGAGAAGGGCGCCTTTCTTCACCCCCCCCCCTCCTCGATCTGTCGCCCCCCCGTTAAAAGCGCTGCCCAGGAGGTTAAGTCCGAGCACAACCAGCCGGGGGCAACGACCGAGGATGACCGACGGCTCGCTTCGTGGGCCGCGCTTCCAGGTGCCGCCCCCGAGCCCGCGCGCGGCGACGGCCGCAGTGGTCGTGGGAGGAAGAGGGGGCGCTGAGGGGAGCGAGGCTCGTCGGGGCGCCCCGCAGCCACGAGGAGGAGCCTGCGTCGAGGAGGCCTCGACGAGGACCGTTGTCAACGCGAAGGTTCTGGTGATTCAGAAGAGGCGGATGCTTCTCGCCCGCACGGGCGCGACCCATGAGTTGAGGTCGACCCCGGTCTTCAGCGCGCCGGAGGTCCCCCCGCTGGAGCATCGAGCAGCAAGTGGCCTCGGGCAGCGTCGGTGCGGCCAGCGGGGACGACGACGTCGTGTGTGTGTGTGTGTGTGTGTGCAGAGCGAGGCGGAGCTGCAGCCGTTGTTGCCCCTCCGCGCCTACTTGCACGAGTGCGGCCCTCGCCTCGCGTGGATCTCGGGGCAGGCCGCGATCCGCCCTTCGAGCCGGCGCGGAGCAGCTGGGGAGTTTGAGGGGGGGGCGTCGCCGGGGAGAGAGGCCGGGCGCCGGCGCTGCGTGCGGTCGCAGCTGCAGTCAGCAGCTCGGACTTGGCTGGCTGGGCAATCCACGGGGCGGGTGGCCGTCCGAGGTTCATGCAGGAGTGCCGGGAGTGTCGGTTGGCGGCAGGCCGCGCGGGGCCTCATGATCGCCTCGGCCCGCTGGCCCGGCCAGGAGGCCAAATGGGGCGTGGACATTCTTGGGCCGCAGCCAGAGGGGTGCGGCCGAGCTCGCTCGCCCGGGGTTTCCCAGGGAGGGCGTGCTACTTCCTCTTGGCCGCTGTCAGGTGATGGCCGAGCGCGGTTGGCAGTCAGCTGGGCGTTGTTCAAGGTTATTTCTACAGGGCCAGAAGCCAGTGTAGACACAGGGCGCCGTTGAGAATATCCATGTCGTCTGGGGCTGAGAAGCTGCGGTCCTGCGCTGACGCCGCGAGAGTGCGAGACCTGCGCCGCCCCTGGTCAGGGAGGCCACGCGCGGCGGGGGTCGATGGGGCCCATGGAGCCGGCGCGCGGCGCGGCGGCAGCGGCAGCCGAGGAGCGCGGCCCAGCAGAAGAGGAGGCGGTTGAGTCTGGAGAGCGGCCGCGTGGTGTTCCTAGGGGGGGGGGGGGCTGCCGGGAACGCCTGGCCGGACAAGGCCGCGACGATGTGCTTCACCACCTACCAAGCCACCCCAGCCCAACCCGAAGGCCTCAGTGTGCCCTCCATTTCCAGTGGGGGGGGGGTCGGGGAACATCGACAAAAACACGTATGGAACCCATACCCCCCCCAACCCGAAATTCGGGTCTTCGGGTTGGGTTGGGGTGGTCTGGTAGGTAGTCAGTACTACAGCGGCCCTCGGAGGGGAAGACCTCCAAGGAGGGCGCCCCGGCAGCGGAGGAGATCGACCAGCGAGGCCAAGCTCCACTGCTGGGGGCCTGCTGTGTTCCGGCTGCGCGGCGACAGGGCCGGGGAGCTGACTGGGCGCGCCGTCGAGAACGACGCTGGGACCAGGCACCACATCGTCGCGACGCCGGCGGCCGGGGACGAACCCAGTTCCAACGGCGGGGCCGAGCGCGGGGTCGGGGGGATCAAGGCCAGAGTTCGAGCCATGCTCATGGCAGAGGGCTTCGACGCCGAGGATCGGCGGGCGCTTTGGCCGGCAGCTGTCCAGCACGCCGCGTGGTGCCGGCGTCGGGAGGCCCAAGGGTTAAGCTTCGTGAGTTGTCCGCCCTTCGGAGCAGCGGTGACGAGCAGGAACAAAGGCGCCCGGGGCAGCTTCGAGCCTCGGGCGCGCGAGAGCAGTATTTTGTTCGGATTGGCTGGCGGGCTGACTGGTGGCAGCCTTCGTGGACAGAAGGGGGCTGCTGGCTGGGCGTTCGAGGTCTCGTCCAGCTTCGCCCTCAACCTGCAGGCGTGCAGTGCTGGGGGGGGGTCCCTCGGGCTGAGGAGGATGAGGCCAAGGAGGATCAGCAGGCCGAGGAGGATGAGGCCAAGGAGGATGAGCAGGCTGATGGGGGATGAGGCGCAGGAGGATAAGCCAGCAGAGGTGGATGAGGCCAAGGAGGATGAGTTGGACTAGGAGGATGAGGCCCAGGAAGATAAACAGGCTCAGAAGGATCCATCGTCCGCGCGGCTGGCACAGCATCTGTTTGAGGAGGATCGCGCTCAGGAGGGGGATCAGCAGGTTGAGGAGGAGAAGCATGTAGAGAATTAGAGGCAGGCTGACCCCCTCAGGATCGAGCTGCCGAAGGAGGTCATGCGTCCTGCCTGTTGGGGTCAGCTGAGGCCCCGCACCCGGGATCGGCGTTGCCAACTGGGGCTGGCGGCAGGCTTCGAGCACAAATTTGACGGAGTGTTCGAGGTGGAGCCGGGTGCGGCGCCGAGTTGTGCTTGCCCTGCGCGCCGGGGGGTCGCCTCCGACCACATGCTCGAGACTCGAGATTGGCGGTGCCGTCATGGAGCTCGCCTGGGCGAGTTGGTTCCAGTGGTGAGGCGGAGTCAGGAGGAGGCCGAGGCGATTCCAGCGACGACGAAGAGTCAGGAGGAGGCCGAGGCGATGCCTGCGATGAGGGGCAGCCAAGAGGAGGTTGAGGCACAGGCGTTGTCAGGTGCCCGGAAGCATGGCGCCACGTCGTGCACTCGAGATCATGTTCGCCGACTTCGATCTCCTGGTGTTTATGGCACCCCTGTTAGCCTCTCCGTGCACCGCGACAGCATGAACATGCGCGTGCCACGTGCTGCCGCTGTCGACGCACGAGGTGGGGAAGATCTGGACGACGCGCATCCGGAGCACCGCGGCATCGTGAGGGATTCGGCCGTGCAGATCGTTGGCGTCGCTGATGTGCTGGCGGCGTGTGGCCAGGAGCGCGAGGGGTGGAAGCCCGCGTTGGAGAGTGAGCCGGGGTCGCTCCGCGAGCCTGGCTCCTGCGAGGAGTTCTGTCGCCCGCTGTGCGGGCTGCAGTCTCGCCTGGCAGGGCCTTGCCGATGAGGGCGGCGGCAGGAGCGAACGCCCCCGATCCGACGGGAAGCAGGACCCAGACATCATGGCGTCGTAAAAAAATCAGGACGGGAGGTTTTTCATTGCTTTCGACCCCTCGACTCAGGATGAAGAACCGGTCCCGGGGAACGGGTCGGGACTTCCAGGGGTGCCGTCCTGACAAAATCAGGACGTCGCATGTCTGGGGAGAAGGCTCGGGCGGCCGCGGGGCAAACACACAGCGGGAGGAGCACGAGGGGGGAGGGAGGGGGAGGGCGGAAGGAGGAGGGAGGGGGAGGGAGGGAGGGGGAGGGATGGGGAGGGGGAGGGAGGAGGGGAGGGAGGGGGAGGGGGGAGGGAGAGGGAAAGGGAGGCGGACGAGGAGCACGAGGGGGAGGGAGGAGCACGATAGGGGGAGGGAGGGGGGAGGGCGGAGGAGGAGGCGCGGGCGGGGAGGAGGGAGGGGGCAGGAAGGGGAGGAGGCGGGGAGGAGCTCCCTCCCTCCAGTCCTCCCTCGGCCTCCCTCCTCCCCACCCTCAAATCCTCCCTCAAATCCTCCCTCCCCTCCTCAAATCCTCCCTCAAATCCCCCTCCCCTCCCTCAAATCCTCCCTCGGCCTCCCTCCCCTCCCTCAAATCCTCCGACTCCTCCCTCCCCTCCGCCCTCCCTCCTCCCCACCCCCCCCGGAGGCCGAGCTCTCCAACGAGGAGCGCCTGCGGGAGATGGAAAAGCAGATCCACCGGCTCGTTGAGGAGAGCGCCATCACCCGCGAGCAGGGCAATTGTCGTGAGGACGCCCGCCGCCCTCGTCGTCGTCGCCGTTGCCGCCGCCGCCGCCGCCGCCGCCGCCGCCGCCGCCGCCGCCGCCGCCGTCGTCGTCGTCGTCGTCGTCGTCGTCGTCGTCGTCGTCGTCGTCGTCGTCGTCGTCGTCGTCGTCGTCGTCGTCGTCGTCGGTGTCGTCGTCAACGCTGCCATCGCCGCCGTCGTGGCCGTGGTCGTCGTCGTCTTCGTCGTCGTCGTCGTCGGTGTCGTCGTCAACGCTGCCATCGCCGCCGTCGTGGCCGTCGGCGGCGGCGTCGTCGTCGCCGCCTCCTCCTCCTCCTCGCCAGGTCTTTCTTATCTCCTCCTGCTGCTCCTCCTCCTCCTCCTCCTCCTCCTCCTCCTTCCCTCCTTTTCCCTCGCGTGAGCAGTCGGCTATCGAGAACTGGGCGTCTCCGCGCCGCGTTATTGTTACGTCCTTCTCCCTCCTCCACCTTGTTTATCGCCTCCTCCTCCTCCTCCACTTCTTCGTTCTCCTCTTTCCTCCTACGTATACCATCAAAGAAGACGGTGGATGCAGAACATGATCAGACGGAGGGATCATGGATAATGATGCTGCTGCTGATGATGATTATGATGATGAGGCTGAGGATAAGGATGAGGATGATGATGATGAGGATGATGATGCTGCTGATGATGATGGTTACGCTAATTATGATGATGCTGATGATGATCGTGACGATGAGGATGCTGATGATGATGACGACAATGATGATGTTGGTGCTGATGATTATGATAATGTTTGTGATGACGATGGGTATGATGATGATGATGATGCTGATGATGATGATGATGATGATGCTTATGCTGCTGATGATGATGTGGATGAGGTTGACGATGTGGATGATAATGATGATGTGTATGCTGATGCTGATGATGATGCTGCTGCTGATGCTGATGATGCTGATGGTGATGAAGCTGATGCTGTTGGTGATGATGATGATGGACCATATGATGATCATGATGCTGATGATGCTGATGCTGATGATGCATATGCTGTTGTTGATGATGATGATGCTGATGATGATGTTGATGATGCTGATGATGCTGCTGACGATGATGATGCTGATGATGCTGATGATGCTGCTGATGATGCTGCTGATGATGAATATGATGTTGATGATGATGATGCTGCTGCTGCTGCTGATGATGATGATGATGATGATGATGATGATGATGATGATGATGATGATAAGGACGATGCTGAGGCTGATGATGATGCTGATGACGACGACGATGATGATGATGATGCTGATGACGATGATGCTGATGATGATGATGATCATGATGATGGTGGTGGTGGTGGTGGTGGTGGTGCTGATGATGATTATGATGATGAGGAGGAGGAGGATGAGGAGGAGGAGGAGGAGAAGGAGGAGGAGGATCAGCAGGGAGGAGGAGGAGGAGCAAGAGGATGACTCGGATGATCACGAGAGGGGGGATCGCCGCTCCTCGCCCCTCTTCTCCTACCCTGTCCCCTTCCCTCATCCTCCCTCTGCCTTTGCCTCTGCCTCTGCCTCTGCCTCTTGCGCTTTCTGGGCGATATCTGAGAGGCGCTGGAGAAGGGCAAGGAAGCCGGCAAGGAGGAGCGCAAGCTGTGCAGGCTGCGGGAGCAGTACAACCTCCTCGACCAGCTGAACGTGGACCTGACCTACGCCGTCTGCCTCAACCTTGCCATTCAGCACCAGGCCAACGACAACGACAACGAGGCCCTGGACATCTACACCCAGATCGTGAAGAACAAGCAGTACCCCTTCAGCGGCCGCTTCCGCGTCAACATGGGGAACATCTACTTCAAGCAGGAGAAGTGGACCGCGGCGATCAAGATGTGCCGCCGCGTCTGCCATAGCCCACCCCACATCTGCAGGCGGGAGCAGGTTTAAGTCGGGCGTGTCCCCCTACAGGGGGATTTTCGACGACAAATAAGAAATACCCCAAACATGCCCCAAAAAGACCAATCAATATTCAAAAAACAGTCCCCAGACTATTTTTAGATTGTTTTTTTGCTTATTTTTGGGGTATTTTTTATTTCTCGTCGAAAATCCCCCTGTAGGGGACAGGCTCGACTTAAGAGCAGGTGTCTGCTCTGGATCGGAAGGTTGTCAGACAAGGCGGAGCCCTCCGAAGACCCACCTTTTCCCTACACGGTGAGCGCTGTGAGGGATCCGAGCTGCAGAGAACGCGCTTCTGGACCGCATGCTGCGCGAGCACGTGCCGCTGGCGTGCCGCGCCGTGCCGTGCCCGCGTGCAGTGCCGCGTCGAGGTCTTGGCCGTGCGCAGGAGTGGCGTGTGCCGTGCCGTGCCGAGCCCGCGTTGCCGTGCCGCGTGCCGTGCCCGGGCTCCGGAGCGCGAGGCCTGCGCCCTGCCCCGCCCAGGGTCTCGACTGCGCAGCACGTGCCTTCTCCGTGCCTGCTCGGGGTTTCCTGATAGGCGCGGGGGGGGTGCCCCCCCTCCCCCGACGGGGGTCAACCTCGCCTCGTCGTCGCGCCGCGACGGGGGTCGGGGGCGCCTTCGGCGCGCGGCGGCTGCCCGCGACGTGGCGGGTGTGTCGACGTGGGGCCGTCGGGGGGGGGGTGACGCCCCCCCCCGGCGCTTATGAAACGGCTTGGAGCCAGTTCTCGAATGTGCCAGACGTGCCGCGCCGCGCGGCGCCCGCACGCCGTGCCCGTGCCTCGTCGTGCCCCGGGCTCCCGAGTGCAGTCGACCTGCCACACCGTGCCGTGCCCGCGTGCCGTGCCACACCGTGCACGGCGCGTGCCCAGGCTTTCTGAGAGAGGCGGCGCCGGGCCGTGCCCGCGTGCCGCGCCGTGCTGTGCTCGCGTGCCGTGCCGTGCGTGCCCAGGTTCCAGAGTGCGAGGAGGTTCGAAGAAGAAAAAAACACACCTAAGCATAAACTGTTGGCGCTCCGCGCGGGTTTCTTGGATCCGCGCCGGGAGCCCCCTGGGCGGAGCCTCTGGCGCCGCCCCCGGTGCGCTCCGCGCGCGCCAGGGAGGGGGGCGCAGCGCAGATCCAAGAAGTCTGCGCGGAGCGCCAAAAGTTGATGTCAATGTTTTTTTGTTTCTTCTTCCGATGTGCTGTTCCCGCATCCCGTGCTGAGCTGGTGCCCAAGTGCCGTGCCGTGCCTGTGCTCCAGAATGCAGCAGGCGTGCTGTGCCGTGCCGCGCCTGGGGTCTGGATTGCGAGGAGTCTGCCGTGTCGTGCCGTGCCCGCGTGCCGTGTTGTCCCGCGCCGTGCCCAGGTCTTCCAAGATGTCAGACGTGCCCTGTCGTGCCCGCGTGCTGTGCCGTGCCCGCGGCGTTCCGCACTGTGCCGTGCCCAGGCTCTCGAGTGTGAGAGACAGCGCGGCGTGCCGTGCCCGCATGCCGCGCCGTGCCGCGCCGTGCCTTGCTCGGGCTCAGTTCTTGCGGCACTGGGCACCCCCATCAAGTACGTGTATGCTTTCATGCAGCGTGGCTCTCTGGGGTCCCGCGGCACGGTGTGATGTGGGCATCCAATCCGAGAGAAGAGCTCGCCGCAGCCGCGGTGGTGTGTCTGCAGCAGAGCGTGCCTGCGCAGCCCAGAACCCAGCGCCCCCCTCCGGGACCTGCGGCGATGGGCCCCGTGCCTCGAGGGCGCCCCCCCACAGCAGGCAGCTCGAGCTCAACCCTGGCTGCCAGGGTTGAGCTCAAGCTCAGCCGCGGGCGCCCCCTGCGAAGACGAGAGCCCGCCGCGGGCGCCCACATACCTTCCCTCTGACTGTGCAGGCAACGAGCGCCGGCACCACCGCCGGCCCCCGTGGCGACGGGCCTCGCGGACCCCGCCCCGCCCCTCGGTGCTGCCAGTAGGGGGCCACATGCGAACCCTGCCCCTACCCCCCACGATTTCTGAGGGGGAGGGTGGGGTTCACGTCGTTCGGGGACGCCCCCCTAGCCAGAAGTCTCCTTGGCTCAAGGTGCCCCCAGGGATCTTCAAGGAGGCCCCCCACGGCCCTCAGAGCACCCCGCGCGAGGCCCATGAGGGCTCCCCAGGGGCCTCGGAAGGGCGCGACGAGCTGGGGGCCCTCCGGGCCAGGGGCACCCTCAGCAACCGCAGGCGCCCCCCTGTCCCCGCCCCGGCCCCTGCCCAGCCCCCACGATGCCGGCCGTTCTTGCGGAAACTCGCGTGTTTTCGCGCTCGAGACGTGCTGGGGCGCCACACACATATATATATATATATATAGATATGCATACATATATATATATATATATATGTATATATACACATATTCATATATATATATATATCTATATGTATATACATATAGACATATATATATATATATATATAGGTATCTGTATATATCTGTATACCCTGGCTGGGAAGGGTGGCACGGCGCCTGCGCCCATTGACGTGACACCCAGGATAGAGGACACATGCCTACCCTTGTCACTGAGCGCGTTCCGCTACTCTCAAAGTGCACGCTCGCAAACGTTGGAGAAGCACATGTTTGCCTCGAAGTCATGGGTCACACATCCCCCGCGGCGAACCCAGGGCATTTGCGGGGAATCATGAGGGGAAAGACATACAGACACACTTAATCGACGCCCCCCCCCAAGGAAGATGTAGGACAATATGGGAAGCGGGGCCGAAGACGAACACCCAGCCTAGAAAATAAGTGAACATATGGGGAATCCTGGTGTTTCTGCCTATTCATTTGTGTGTCCCTGGGCCCCTGACGGGGCTAGGACGAGGATAAATCCGTTCCAGAGCGTTCCAGAACGCTCTGAGAAGGCCGCGGCGCCCGAGACGTCCTCCAGAGCCGCCAGATCTCCGAGATTCTCGATTTGTCCTTACCCGATTTTATCCTCGTCCTGGCCCCGTCTTAGAGGGGGGAGGAAGAGGATGCACGCGGA